ATAAGATGTTGGTGTGCTCCAAGTTTTCCCATTTAAAAAAAAAAGATTAGATTCTTTAAATAGAGCGTTGCTATGGAAATAGGCAGAAAATATATGCTTAAAAACCTGAAAAATATTTTCTTTCCTTGGATACTTACCCTTAAATGTAGATTCCCAAAACTTTTATGACTGATATTTATCAACAGCTAACATGACTTTTAATTTTGAATATCATCCATTCACTATGTGGATGCAAGAAGTTGGCACACGGGGTTTAATATTGATATAAATTTCACAAAATCGAACATTTTCCCTTCTCAATAACCATAGCAAAGTGTTGTTTTATTCATCTAGATTTTATCAATATATGATATTCAACTTCAGTTCTAACAGATGAGTACTATTCAAGCTGAGTCCTTAAATTTGTTTCTTGATTAAATGGCAATTTAGTTCCGAATTCAACGAAAAATAATTCACTTTTAAGCACTGGTACATTGTTTCCATGGTAACACTGCAAAGTAGCAATTATACCCAATTTCTCTTATGGTTATGGTGTTGCAAGGTCCTAAGGATGGATATTTGCCAGTCTTGAATTTTCATGTTTTTCCTCAAGACAGTAGCATTAACCCAATTTCAGTTACTGGTTTTGCATTGTTACACTGTGTTACCATGGCAACCATGAAAGTCATTTATAGAATGATATTGTTTATACTTATATACTTAAGGTCAAACATTTTTATTGTTTGTTTAAGTCGATGATTGAGTTTGTGCATGTAACACCTACGACTAGTGAATACGGAGTGATTTCAGCATACATCAGCATTTGAAATGTATTCCAAATGTACCCTTGGATACCACTTACTTAAAGATAATTATATTCTAAAAAGTTTCTTTGCAGTATGACATCAAGGTGTCATGTTTTTGTGAGAATGGTTGGTTTGCTTTTTCTAGCTTTAATTAAGCCACAGTCAAGATTTAAAGTGGCTGAAAATCTCGATTTTTCAAACTGTTCCGGCTGTGTCCATAGCAACCGAGACACATAGTAACGATATTTTGTTTGATATTTGTTTCTGGTATCAATTACTAAGCATGGGTGAAGTTTCATCAAAATCGGTGACCATACGTGGCAACGAAGTTTAAATGGTTACAGGGAATGGCTATTAATATTTAACGTCAATGGCTTTACTTCTAACTCTGACACATTAATTTCTAGAATGATAGTTCTCATTTTTTTCTTAAAGTGATTTTGTTTAACATTATCAAAATGTGTCAAGTAATTCAATATTTAAAAAAAATTAAATGAGGTAAATATATAAAAATTATCAACTTACGTAAACATTGAAGAGAGGGAGAAAGTAATGGCTGCCCACTTGTCTATGGATTTTTATTAACGTCATATAACCATTTAATCTGAAAAACTGTTAGTTGTCAGGTACATGTATTTATACTTCCTGGTCAGAATGAGGAATCTAAATTTCCACTCTTCAAATATTTGAATGGAAGTAACTGCACACCTTTTGATGATTTCTTATGAGGGAAAAAGCTTGAGTTCAAATTCAGGTTTAATGACCAATCGCAAAGCCCCAACTTCAATCTTTCAAACCGGAAAAAATATTTTTCTAGATATATAAAAACGTCTTTATTTTTTAATATTCATTTAAAGAATGAATTAAATAGTAACCCATTTTACACTGACTAACTTTGGTCGGTAAATGTTACTCTTTATAAACCGTTTGTTTATATTTTAGAAGCAAAGACAAGTGTATTAAAAAGTTTTTGACGTAAGTCATTGTGACGTAGGCAAAGCAGGTTAAACAATATAGATTAATTTATTTCTTTTATATCAATTTTGATCCAATCAAATGACGCTTCACAACCCAAAATAAACTATTGCGAATTAAGGAAAATCGTTGTTCATAAACTATAGTGCGATGAGCAGCAATATCTTTACTGTTTTGCAATTGCGTCAAAACACCAATCTTTATTTTCTTTTTTTATTTACTATGAAACTGCTCTAAAAAATTTTTTCAATTAAGAACCTTGATGCATATTTAAATACGGAATTTTTATACTAATTGATAGCCCATGCATTATCTATAAACTGAATTGACGACGGATTTCCCACTTGTTTCCCAATTGCGCGCGGCGGGTGTGGTCGGTTGACAGGATATGCTCGCTATTCCATGGCAACTGATCTCGCTTCTGAGTTTAAGAGGTACACGTTTGCTCCTATTTTGTATCTTTTATGGACTTTGATATTGAATACTGTTTCGTATCTTCATGTCTTTCATTCACATATATATGATCTATTTTCAACTTACTTAAATGTTCACTTATGACGTCATCTTCTTACATTTTAATCCAAATAACAGATTAAGTAAAACTCGAGTTATAGCGAAGTCCTTGGGACCTGTGAATTTAATTCGCTATATCCGTAATTCGTTATATCCGTACAACCAATTCGTATAAACATGTATAGCGAGTTCGCAATATGAATGTTTTCCTTCAAGTATTACTACCAAATATGTTAGGAAAGCAAAGTCACTTCAATTTAGCAAATTGTTAGGTCTTTGAAAGTTCGTTATGAAAGATGTAAATTCCATCATATTTAATCCCACCGGAACTCAAAATGAGTTCGCTATATCCGTAAATTCGTTATATCAGAGTTCGTTATAACCGTAAAATTTTACAAAGATTTGTTAAGAATTTTACCGAGGACCCAGAAAAACTTCGCTTTATCCGTGAATTCGCTATAATCGTGTTCGTACTAAACGAGTTTTACTGTATAGCTTAATAAAATAAAATAAAGTTTTGTTAATGTTTACATTTTAATTTAGATTTATTTTCTAGGGTTAATTTACAGCTCTCAATACCATTATTACAAAAATTTGTTATAAAAGTGAGGTCAACTCGTTTACAATGACGTCATAATACCGTATAAATTGAAAGGATGAAGTGACATAAATGTTATCTAGGGCCCCTTTTTCAATCTATATATTCAATCTACAACAATGTTGGTAGTTTTCAAAAATAAGTGAATGAATATGACTTTTGAATAGATTCAATAGTTCAGACATATTTTAATTATAAAGAGTACTGCATTATCTTCGATTTTTTCAGACCTTATCACAGCTAAATTCGGCCAGGTTTGTAAGAATATGTTCCTTTATGGCAAGAGAATGGGCGGGTCTTAGTACAATAGAGGGATATGCGTGTCCGAGAAGACCTTATATGGCTATTGTTATCATTTCACACATATTCATTGTCCAATCTGATGACAGAACAACAAACAATGCTGGTTTACTATGTTTACATTTTATCTCAGATACGTGGTTTAGGTCAGTTTACCTGTTATCCTATTCTACATATCAAACTTTTATAAAGATCAACCAATACTTAATAATAAGCATGGATTTTCAGCAATTAAGTATTTTTGGACAAGATATGCACAGGAAACTTGTATTCAGTGATAATTGGGAATACACGTAGGCCTAGCGAAATGCTCACCAAACACGCTACAAGCCCTTTAAACTAATGTACATTTATCAATTGTTTGTAAATGTATAAATTTTACTGCCATCTCGGCTCGAAATTGTACATATGTAGATCCGTGTCTAATTTAAGACTCAAATGCATAAAAAAAAATTCTGAAAGAAGTAATATTTCAAGCATGTTTCCATAGTATTTTTGTGGTACTCACTCGTAACGAATTTCATTCAGATGGTTGGTCAATTAGAAAGTATCGCCAGTGCCTCGATTAGCATATGAATTCATTCTTACGCCAGAAAATCTAGTTCCGTCGATCTGTTCATAATGGGAAATGCCAGCAAGATTTTACCATTCTTGTAAAATAGCATGTGAGCGCAGTTAGGTACAATTTTCTCCTCTTGCATATAGGTAGATTTCAATAAAATACAGTGACCAGGCAAAGGAGAAAATCGTAGCTACCTGCGCTCGGATATCTTAAGGGCTTCAAAGAGTGGGCGGGATTAAAATGCAACGGAAATTGGATGTAAACATGATACCCCTACCCCAGTAAAGGATCAAACCACGTTTCTATTTTTGATAATAATAGTATTCTATGAAGGTGCACATATCAGTGATTAGCTATAGTTACATATAAAAATTTGAGTAAAATTTAGACATTTTATTTTTTGTTAATTTTGTGGGGACCGCAAGTCAGGTCATTCTTTAGCGAGGCGCAAATTAAGCGATTTGTCCTTAAACACTGATATTCTTATTTTTCGTGAGATGTTATTTTAGAGATTTTAAAATGCTCACTTAAGAATCTAATAATAATTAATATCAATTAATTTTATCGATATTCAGTTTTAAGCTATTTCAACACTACTCGCTAAAAATTCTGCTAAAAATTTGCTTATTTGGTATATCACTGATTAAGTCAATTTAGAATATTTCCTGAACACCCCTGCGAAGGGATGTTTAATTCATTAAAAAGAACGTTATGCATGAAACACTTTTACCTAATACCTCGCAAACAAATCACTAGTGTTCGTACATCAACCCCTGTATTATTTTTATTATTTATAATTTTTATTATTATTTATACACTGAATTGACGATTTTTCTGTTATTCCCCGATCATGACAAGGAGCACACGGCGGATGTGACCGGTCGGCAGGAGATGCTTACTCCTCCACGGCACCTGATCCCAACTCTGATGTTTTGGAGGTTTGTGTTTGCTCTGCTCCTATAATGAATATTGTATTTTTTCTGGACTTTGATCTTGAATTCTCATATTTCTTTCCAAAAAAAAGATCATACGGTCAATTTTTAAATTTATTTTCCTACTATGAATTTTAATCTCATACAAGGTGAATGAAGAAAACACATTAGAGATACATGTAGCAATATGTGATTTTTGTGGAGTGTACATCAAAATGGTTTCACGGACAAACGGTTATTCTCTTTTTTGGGTTATGCAATTCAGAGGTACAATGGAAAATGGCACGGTGTGAACGGATAATACGATGAAATCGTCGAGAAAATTTTCATTAAATCTATGCAGTGGTGGCGTATTCAATGGCATTTAAATATCTTATTTTCTTCACTTGTCTTTTTTCCATTTGAGCAACAAAGAGATTGTCATTTGAATCTGTACACAGTCCCCAGGGTTTAGTCAGTCCACAGGGTATGTAACTGATGAACTCTCCATCCTGATCAATGATGTGGACACAATCATTGTTGACATCAGATATAAGGATATGGTTATGAATGTTTGTGGTGATTCCTCGTGGACTGAATGGTTTATATTTTGGAGTAGGAGTAAGTCCGGTGTAACTAAATCTCAGTTTCCCGGCAAGATTGACCACCACTACAGCTCCAGCTCCATAGTCAGACACACAGATATCCAGGTTCCTGTTCTCACAAATATATTTAATATAACTGGATGAATACAACGGTTTTCCTTTATTATCAAATTGAATAGTTTGTATCTTTGTGGAGCCAGAGTAACGGACAACTTTTGATTGGTAATCATCATCACTAAGCATGGTAACCAGGAGGTCACCAGAGGAGGAACTACAGACACCAAAAGGTCTCCAGTTCTGTAATCTTTATCACCTCCTCTGTCTCCTTGTTCTTCACTATATTCACAGTCCTATCATCGAAATCAGAATAAACTAGATCTCCGGCTTTTGTCACTCCGATGACTGAAGTGTTGTTCCCTGACTTAGTTGATATTGACTTGAGCAGTGATCCCTGGTTGATGCTGTAAAGTTTCATGGTGCTGTCATCTCCACTTGTCCAGATTTCTTCATCACTCAGGCAGGCAACATTGTAAAGTTTGTTATACCCAGTGTCTACAAAATTGATGACTGTCTCTGATGATTTCTGTATTTTCTTCTTGTTGTAGCTATGTTCATCCGAACTAACAGAATTACATGATAAGGCTCCAAACAGTTTATTGAATTCTTTACCTATGATTTCTCTGGGGATGAATTTGGGTAAAGATAGAGCCATTTCTTGTTCTTGTGGAAGATTTCTGTATATATTTATGTTGGATGTGCCACTTAACAATTTGGACAAGTCATTTGTCTGTAAAACAATTTCAGTTGAATCGATTTCATCCTTTATGTAAGAAATTTTCTTGTTTATG